AAAATCTTGGCCATCCTGGATCATCAGGTGCAAGTGGAAGAGCAATCTATTCTGCTGCTTAAACATCTGTGGAAACTTCTTGTCCTTGCCTCCCTTTGAAAGTAGTAGCTCTATAACTGTCGCTAGTTGGGTTAAAGCAGCACACTCAAATGTGGTATATGTTGTCTCCAAAGCCAAAAAAGCCTATTGTATGTTGTGCCTTTTTTCTTTGGACCTGCCCAAGCAGGTGGGGCAGATGGTAGGGTGGTGGTGGTGGTGGTGGGGTGGTAGGTGATATGAGGTACAGCAGCTTGTTTTTCACAGATATCTTGACATTACTGTAGACTACACTGTAGACCCCCAGAAACTTCTAAGGTGGCAGGCTCCTGAATTGTTTTAGGGTTAAATTCTACCCTCTTGTTTGTACTTAAAGTACTTGTGACAGAGTGCCTGGGTGGCTCAGTCGGTTGACTATCTGACCTTTGGGCTTGGGTTTTGATCTTGGGGACCTGGGATAGAACACCACATCAGGCTCCATGGTCTTCAGGGAGTCTGCTTGTTCCTGTCCTTCCTCCTGCTCCTCCCTTTGCTCACACACACTCTCCTCTCTTTCAAGTAAATAACATCTTAAAAAAAAAAAAGTACTTGTCACTTCCTGCTCATTGGATAGTATCATCATAATGTCATCAGTGTAGAGGACTAGTGTGATGTTTAATGGAATGTCAAGATGATCAAGATGTGTGAACGGTATTATGGCAGAAGAGAGTTGATGTCATCGTGAGGCAACAGTGTGACAGTGTGCTGTTGGCCCTGCCAGGTAAAAGCAAACTATTTCTGGTGATTTGTATCAGTTGGTTTGGAGAAAAAGAAGCTAAAGCTGCATGCCAAGGACCAGGGCCTTGCTGTTATTATCAGTAAAGACATTACATCTGGGACAACAGCTTCAGTTGGAGTCACCATCTGATTGAGTTTATGATAGTCTGAAGTTCTCCAGAATCCATGTGATTTCTGCACAGACCCTCTGCCACTGTCATTCTAGTCTAAGCTGTTGCTGATTTCTGTTTAGTGGTCTCCTGACAGGTCTCCTCTCCCTGTCCCTTGACTCTTTCCTCCAATCCATTCACACTTTGGCCAGACCAATCCATTAAAATACACACCTAACCAAGTTATTTCTCCCTCACACCCCAGTCTCCCACTAAAGACACTTTCTTGGCTCTTATTTTTTTTTTAATTTTTATTTATTTATGATAGTCACACACACAGAGAGAGAGAGAGAGAGGCAGAGACATAGGCAGAGGGAGAAGCAGGCTCCATGGACCGGGAGCCTGACGTAGGATTCGATCCTGGGTCTCCAGGATCGCGCCCTGGGCCAAAGGCAGGCACCAAACCGCTGTGCTACCCAGGGATCCCCTCTTTCTTGGCTTAGATGGAAATCCTTCGCTTCTCAGCCTCACATTCTGGGAAATTTCTACTGGTCCTCAATCCCAGGCCCACTGTCCTTCGTTCCATTGCTCGGATGTGCCACAAGATGCAGGCCTTTGTGCCATCTGCTTCCTCTGCTAGGGATGCTCTCTCCCCTTTAACTTGCTCTTCTTTCACCCCTCTGACCTCTCATACCTCAGTACCATGTGTGTCTCTGAGTGATAGCATGTACCACACCTGAGGTATTCTCCCCCCCCCCCGTGATTCTATGATTAATGCTTGTCTTCCCAACTATAAGTTTCAAAAGGGCAGATAGAAACTGTTTTGGTCCTAACCTTAGGGAAATGGTTGGCACTTACGAGTCCGTTGCTAATGCTCATTGAGCAAATGATATAGTGCTAACTCTGTGTTCTCTGTGTCCTTTTGCACACATGATTTTTGTTTACCCTTTTTTTTTTAAGAGAGAGAGAACATGAGCAAGGGCAGGGGAGAGGCAGAGTGAGTGGGAGAAGCAGGGGAGCCCGACATGGGGCTCCATCCCAGGACCCTTAGTTCATGACCTGAGCTGAAGACAGATGTTTAACTGACTGAGCCACCAAGGCATCCCAATTTTGTCTCTTTAAACATGCTCAAGATGTTGACAATAGACACTATTGCCTGAATGGTTGGGTACATTGCTCAGAGCTGCCTGTCACGTGTGCAGAAGCTTTAGGACCTTTGTGGGTGACATGTGGCTTGCTTCCACCACTGCTGTCTGAACTGGGGTCATGTGTCGCTATGGCTGTGATCTCAGTATATGCTTCCGCTTTTGGAGCACTCAGCTTTGGCTGATCTGACCCACACATGAAAAAGAAGTGAAATTAATGTTTTTTTTTTTTTGGCCAGATATCACAAAGGAAAAGACAGATACATGGAAAGCACAACCTAAAGGTAAAAGACATATGACGATGAATTTTGCAATATACAGGACGGTAAAGAAATGAATATAACTAATGTATTTTTACTGGTAAGAAAAATAATACCTCTCAGGATGCCAGGGTGGCTCAGTTGGTTAAGCATCTGCCTTCAGCAAGCAGGACAAGCAGGGTGAGGGGCAGAGGGAGAGGGAAAGAAGAAATCCGAAGCAGACTCCCTGAGTGCAGAGAGATGGGGCTTGATCCCAGAACCCATGAGATCACCACCTGAGTTGAAATCAATAGCCCGCCACTCAGCTGAGCCACCCAGGCACCCTTGGGAAGATTATTTTTAAATGAACAAAGCAGTTGTTCAGTTTACAAAACAGCATGTATAGGATGTTTCCATTTTTATAAATCTGTTACATCTAAGGGCGCCTGGGTGATTCAATCAGTTAAGCATCTGCCTTCAGCTCAGGTCATGATTCCAGGGTCGTGGATTGAGCACCCCCATCAGGCTCCCTGCTCAGAGGGGAGCCTGCTCTCTCCCTTGGCCCCTCTCTCTTTTGAATAGATAAATAGAATGTAAAGAAAAACCCCTGTTATATTTATTTTTGTATATGTGCAGAAAAAGTTTAGAATTATCTGTAATAAAATGTTATAAAAGGGCAGCCCCGGTGGCACAGTGGTTTAGTGCTGCCTGCAGCCCAGGGTGTGATCCTGGAGACACTGGATCGAGTCCCGTGTCAGGCTCCCTGTGTGGAGCCCGCTTCTCCCTCTGCCTGTGTCTCTGCCTGTCTCTCTCTCTCTCTGAATGAATAAATAAATAAATCTTTTAAAAAAATGTTATAATGATTGTGTTGTGCATTTTATTTTTTTTATTTTTTAAAAGCTTTTATTTATTCATGAAAGACAGAGAAAGAGAGAAGCAGGTTTTGTGCAGGGAGCCCAATGTGGGACTCGATCCCGGGACTCCAGGATCATGCCCTGGGCCAAAGGCAGGCACGAAACCGCTGAGCCACCCAGGGATTCCCTGTGTTGTGAATTTTAAATCTCAGTCATTAATCAGGGGAACATGAAAATAACTGTCTCTATTGTTTTATAATTGAACTCATTTTGGCTCTTAAACCCTCAAATACAGTTCTTCCATTTGAAAGTGAGCCCTTTTTTGTTTATATTTTTAATTTATTTTTCAAAAACACTTTATTTTTATTTTTTAAAAAACATTTTATTTATTTATGAAAGAGAGAGAGAGAGAATCCCAGGCAGTCTCCATGCTCAGCACGGAGCCTGACTTGGGGCTTGATCTCCGGACCCTGAGATCATGACCTGAGCTGAAACCAAGAGTTGATCGCTCAACTGACTGAGCCACCCAGGTACCCAGCCCCTTCTTTTCATACTCAGCCCCTCTTGGGTTACTAACAACTGGATCCTACTTCCTTTTTCTCTGGGATTAATTTACAAAGTGCCTCACCATGAGGAGACGTATTGGTGACTATGCTCTCCCTGGTCCTCCAGGTCACCATCTCCTTGTGCTGGTATGGGCTATCATGTCTGACTTCTGCTTCTCTCAAGATCCATGAAATCTGTCAGTGCTTTGTCCCCAGGCATGGGCTTTTACAGGCCCATCGTTTTGTCCAGAGCTGATTCTGATGGCCTCTTGGGCCATGAGGGTGTGGTTGCTCTTCTGCATCATGCAGGGAGCACTCTCTGAGGCTGTCCCCAGGCCTGTCTGCTAAGTCCCTTGTTAAGGCTATTTTTTGCACTCTTTCTGATGTCATGCTGCCATCTCTAAGGGACTTGTATTCTCCTCATGCCCTGAAAAGTGAAGAATAAGTCCTCTGCTTTTAGGCCGTCACACCTCCTGGGGCTTTTCCTTTCCACCCTGCTCTGGAGGTGCAGGATGCTGGGCATGTCTCAGGGACCCCTTGAGTGTCAGCCATAGCCACTTCCTGCAGTTCTCCCCTCTCACCAGCTGGTTCCTTCTTGACTCCTGTTGAATGAAAGCTTCTCTTCCATCCTCAGGAACTCATCTCCATGCTTGCCTCACCCCAGGCTCTGTCTCGTCATTTTCCCAGCCAAGTTAAAATTTTTTTTAAAAAGGGTTTTATTTATTTATTCATGAGAAACACAGAGAGAGGCAGAGACATAGGCAGAGGGAGAAGCAGGCTCCCCGTGGGGAGTCCAATATGAACCCCGGGATCATGATCTGAGCCAAAGACAGATGCTCAACCACTAAGCCACCAAGGCTCCCCAAGTTTTTAAAACATTTAAAAAACTTTTCTGTCAGGGATTTTGATCTTACAATTGAAATAATGGTTTCCAAGACAAGAGTCTGCTATAGATTTACAAAAATCCACTTAAATGTTCAAATGCAGAGGCTAAGGATTTGTGTACAGCATCCTTTCTGCAAGAGCACGTTGTATAGAAAGTATCCCCCCGGAGCTTGAATGGTGGAGATGTGGGGGAAATGGATTGGAAATGTCTGTAGTTCAATGCCAAAGTGTGCTCTAGTCCTCTCCTGAGATTGGTAGGATTATGGGTGATTTCCTCTTCTTTTTGATATGCAGTTTCTGAATTTTCTATAATAAACAGGTATTTCTTTCATAATAAGACATATAGTAAACAAAAGTTCTTTTGTAAATAAAGGGACATTTCCAGGCACTGCAATCTTTAAAGTTAAAGGTTTATTTAATTTTGTTGTTGTTGTTTTTGTTGTATATTTTGATTTTTTTGGTACCCTAACCACCTCATCTCATCACAGTGAATGGGCTCTTTGGGAGAGGGGAGGGTGAGAGGCAGGGGCTGTGCCAGAAGCAGTTATCAGAGGGAGAGGCAATGGGGGTGCCTACTTTTCTCCTAAGGAGGAGAGTGATATTGCTGCCTGGTCCAGCCATGGGTTCAGGGACATTTTAAATGACTGTCTTTTTTCCTTTTATTATGAAGCAATAGGTTTTATTAGTATTGTTACAGGCATTGGATTACACAGGAACTAATTTTTAGTGTGTGCCCCAACTGAATTTTGAAGAGATAAGCTATAGCAGAAATGGAATCACGTGGAATTTCAACCAAAACTTGGAAGCTCGCCTTATAAAAAGATAAAAAGAAAACCCTTTTTTACACCTTAAAGTGATAGCTTATACGCAGCAGAACATTTCAGATGTGAAAGTTTGTCCAATCATCTCCTGACCCTGCTTGAGCCCTGCTGTGTCTGTTCTTGACACGTCAGGCATGTCCTGATTTTTTTAAAGAAAAGTTTGCCTTCATATATCTATCTTCTACGGTACTTCATGGTCCCATTTTTTATTCTCCTGAATTTAAGTTTTATGAAAGTATTAGCAAAATAACTGTAAAAGCTAGTGTCTTATGCACATGGAGATGAAAGTGAGTCAAGCCAGGGAACGGCCATGTGGCTGATGAGTTCCCTGGACCCAGCCCTGGGGGGTTACAGGAGCTGGGCTGGCTCCAGTTGGGTGTGATTTCTGGCCGGAAGTTATCAGGCCGGAAGTCCCCTCTTGCGGATCTCCTCCAGAGGGTGCTGCCTTGGCTGCACCTCACAAGGAAGTAGCTCTGGTTTGGGCTGTGGTTAGAGATAGGAGGGGTGAGAATAATAACAGGAATGAGGTTACAACCTCTGGGCTTGTGGCCCATCAGCTTGAAGGAGGTGGGAAAGGTGACCGTGGGAGTGAAGGCTTCTTCCCAGTGTGGGCAGAGGGCAAGGGAGCTTGAGGAGGAGACTTGTCATGTGAAAGAGCCCAAGAACCCCAGAAACCACCGTATTTGATCCCCACTTTGCTGCTGAGGAGAATGAGAGCCAGAGAGGGGGCAACATTATCTTGGCTGGGGACCCATGGTCAGTTGATGACAGAGTTGGAACCAGAGCCCGGGCCTTCTGGGCCAATCCATTGCTTTTCCTGTTTCAACAGGGATGGAAGGCCCAGATCTTCTGGTGCTGGAAGCCCTAGGAGCTGGGGAAAGGAGACTGCCTTGGTCTCCTGGGCAGCTCCCCAGCCCCTGGGTTCCCCTAGCTGTCATCAGGGTAGAGGGAAAGCGTTAATTTGGTCCCTGTGGGATAGGTCTGAGGGCGGACACTTTCCCCCTGACTGCCTCCCACAGGGGCTTGCAATTCTAGGGAGATTCAGGAACAGGCCTGGGATTTCCCACTCAGGTAGAAGAGTTGGACCTGGGGCCTGAGCTCCAGGGGGGCACGGGGTTCATTGTTTTATTCACAGCTGTTAATAGACCTTGCACCTAAAACGTGGCCATTCCATAGGTACCCACTACATTTTAAAAAAATGAGTGAACAGGATGAATGTGACCACCATGTTAGGAGATGGCTCTGAGCAAGTGGTGAAGTAGGCCAAGTTTGCTTTCAGGGATTCTTCTGGCCCACAATTGCTATGTCTGTTCCTCTCAGGGTTGTTTCCCTGCCCCGAGGCCCCTGGTCACAGAGGCTGCATCTGACTACTGCTCCATCCTAAGGTACTATTTCTGACTTAGACAATGACAGCCAGGAAGAGAGAAATGTGTCTCAGGAAGGAGTCAGATGATGTTGGGGTTCCTGGCTTCCAAGGGGACAGCATCATTGTGCAGCAAAGTCTGGTCTCCCCTGAACTTCAGGACAGGTTGGCCTGGGTACATCAAATCCTGAAGATCAGCTGCAGAACCCCCTGAGGCTGGGGGCAGGGCAAGGGAGGTGGGAGCTGGGCCTAGCACAGGGGTGGGGAGGGTGGGGGTGGCGGGATTCTGAGGAGAGGGAGTGAGAGAGGCCATTCTTGAGATGGTGCTGTCAGGATCCCTCAGGAGCTTTGAGTTGTGGCCTATGGGGGAAGATAGGATAGCTAGCAGCAGTGATGATCTCTTCTTGCTTGGGGAACATAGGGCCCCCTGTCCTGATTGGTGCAGGACCCATCCAACCTCTTATTCCCCTCAACTGGGAGCCTAGACTCACCTGGCATGGCTTTGAGTCCTTGTCAGAAGTGAGGAATGTGGATACACTGGAGAGGACTGAACGTGGTCTTACACGCCCCCAGGGCCTGCCATAAGGACAGCATTAGGGCCTGAGGCCTCACACCCTGTTCCCCATTCCCAGCTCAGAGGGCAGACGGGAAGCTCCTGCTGGAAGGGGCCGCTTTCATCTCACCTGCCACCTGATGGGTACTCTTGGTGTGACCTTGTAGACCTCTTGAGGCACTCCTGAGCCATGGGCCTTCTAGGTTCAGAGCCCAAGGAGTAGGAGGCTCACTCCAGAACACCCACTTTGCAGCACATGCTGCTCAATGAACAAGCCCCATTCCATAATGAGCATCAAACCACACTCCTTAAAACTGCCCCCTCCTTTCCTTTATGTCTCCTTGATCATTCTTTTGTGGCTTTTCCCTGACCCACGTTAAGTAGAATCGGAGGACTCTTGCCATCCTGGGCCTGCACCCCTGGGGTTGCCCTGGACCAGAGGAGCAGGGCCTCCGATGATCATGCACCAGAGAGAGTGGGGGCTTGGGGAACTGAGGAAAGTCCTAGCACTGCTATGGGGGGGAGAGTACCTGGCAGGTGGTGTGGGCATCCCTGCCCCCGGATGCTAGGGTCTGCAGCCGAGGCATGTGCTGCTCCACAAACTGCTCGCACTGAGGAAGGAGAAAGACCACGTGAGGTGGCACCGGCTGCTGCAGGACTCTGCCACCTACCCACCCCGGCCCCTCCCCAGCGCCCCCTCCTGACCCCGGGGAGGTCCAGCCCTCGCCCCCACGGAGCAGCTCTGGCTGTGAATCAGCTGGCAGAGGCTGAAGTGGAGGGTTTCTGTTGGGAAAGCCAGAGATAACAGAGATGGAGGGTATTGGAACTCAGGTGCACGGGCCAAATCTTAGCCTCCACCTTCTCATTCCCCTCAAATTTCAGTTCTAGAAATCTTAAAGCTCATCTGGCCTTGGTAACCTGATGTGGCAGTCACTGGGGAGCCCTAAATGTCATTGAGCTGGGGAGTACCATGCAGAAAGCTGCCTCCTGGGCAGGGTATCAGTGGCTTGCTTTAGGACTTTGTGGAGGGAATTCACTGTAGGGCCCCTGAGTCCTGGGACCTTAGGACCTTCAAGCCTAGCCCTGTCCATGGGTGGATTTGTCCCCCGGAGTGACACTGAGAAGAGGGATGGGGCAAAGACAGGATGGGGACCCTGGAGAGAAGGCCAGGTGCTCCCTAGTTCCAGTGGGCCTGGTGTTATTTGTGTCCTCATAGATAACTGGGCTTTATTTTTTGGTTGCGAGGGAGACCTGAAGTTCCTCTGGAGCCCGTGCTCTTGTCCAAAGGTGACCCCTGACCTTAGCAGGTTTCACCCTGTGTTATTGTTCCATGTTTTTTGGTTCATGTCCTGTCTGTTTGAGTTCCCCATGGGCAGGGGTCAGACCACTCTGTGTGTCTCTGACCTGGAAGACTTTCCTGGGCTCCACCCTCCACTCTGGGCAGGCCCAGTGTCCCAGGTTCCCCATGTGCCTGCCCAGGTTCACCTTCTGTCTGTCCAGCCAGGAGCTGAGGCAGGCCTGGCGTATTGTCTGTGGCGTGGCCTGCTCACTGTGGTTCCCTGCCTGGGTGGTTACAAACATGCAGAGCTGGCACTTGGACTCTTGGGGTGACCATTCACTGGGCAGAGATGCCAGAGCTGTGAGGAATAGAGAGAAAACTGTCAAGGCTTCCCCCGCAGAGGTATCCAGTTCTTGTCTGTCCAAACTGGTGCAGTGCAGGAGGACAGGAGAGGGAGAGGGCAGTGCAAGGCCAGGGGGAGGGGCAGATGAGAGTGGGTAGTGGAGGGGGGCTGGTGCGGGAGGCTCACCTGGCCCAGTGCTGTCCTCGTGGGAGCACCGGAGGACGAGGCCGCAGACCAGCTGGGGCAGCATGCGGCCCAGCAGCGCGTCCAGCAGCAGGACAGTGTAGCGCTCAGCCAGACACTGGCAGATGCCGCCCACCACCAGGGGTACGACGTGGCACACTTGGCCCACAGTCACAGCCAGCACACCCTGGGGACGGGGGCATGGAGAGAGGGCAGAGTGGGACCTTCCCTGGCAAGATCTACTGTGTGCCCGGCACCGGCAGGCGTTTGTAGTTTTGTCCTGTTCCCTTCTGGGAGGGAGAATGATTATGCTGTTTAGAGATGAGGACATTGGGCATCAGAGAGTCCGAGGGGCCTGGCCAGTCACTAAGTGAGTGCAGGAGCCAGGCTGCCATCCCAACTCTAAGTCCGAAGGCTCTGGAATTGCCGAAAGGAGCATAGCCAGACCACAAAGATGAGCATCACCAAGGCCACATAGTGGCCTGGGGCAGAGGTGGAACTGGACCTGTGTCTTCTCCCTGCAGACCTAGGGCTTGCCACATTTCCCTGCAGGTGGGTTGGCTTTCATCTGTGGCTCCTGGAGCCAACATGTCCCTGGTTTCAGGAGCCTTTGAGGGAAGTGAGAAGTTTCCCCAGGCTACCCTGATTCCACACTCAACCTCCGAGCTGAAGGACAAGGACAGAGGCAGAGGTGGCAAGCACTCTTGCTCACTCCCTCACTCATCCAACCCACACGTGTAAAGCACCTGCATGCCATAGGCTGGCCTTGGCTCCAGCCCTGCTTGTGGCCCCGCTGTCCCCCAGTGCTGGGAAGGTGACGGTGGGAGTAGGACATGGTGAACCGTCTGTCTCTGGGGCACATTACTTTCCAAATGGGTACATCCCCCAAATGCTTGCACCTGCTTGTGTCAGAACCCATACTCAGCGTCACCTGCCCGCTTCAATGACAGGGGAGTGGTCCCTGCTCTGTCCAAGGCCCGCCTGCCTACTCGTGCACTGGAACACTGCCGCCACCCTCTCAAGTACTCTTCCCTGCATTATCCTCTCTCCCCACCTCACTGCTTCTCCCATCTGCTGACCAGTCTCATCGGCACACAAACATGCTAAGATGGCTTCTGTCATTAAAAGCCTCCCTTGTTGGCATGACCTCAGGGTCCTGGGATCGAGCCCCTGCATCAGGCTCCCTGCTCAGCGGGGAGTCTGCTTCTCCCTCTGTCACTCCTGCTCATGCTCTCTCTCGCTCTGCTCTCTCTCAAACAAACAAACAAACAAACAAACAAACAAACAAACAAAATCTTAAATGAATAGAAGCCAGTGTTTCCTAACTTGGCTTAGACATTTCTGCATGGCCAGGCAGTGTTTGCCCTTCGGTCCCCTGTTCTGACCACTCTGCCCTGGCCAGCCTGCCGCGGCCACTCTGACTCTCCATTCCTTAGGCTTGCCATGCCCCATCTTGATCATGGTCCTTTGTCCACCAGGGCGTCATCCTCTGAGTTACCCCCACTCCCCAGAGGCTCTCCTTGACCAACCAGCTCAACCCTCTTACTGGCTGTTTTAATTCTCTGCTCTGAACTTATCAGTGAAAAAACGCTCTCCCCCCACAATACCAACTCCAGAAAGTGAGGACATTGTCTGCTGCTATGAGCTCTCAGTGCTGGGTGGCCTGCAAGGGACTGGGTGGCATCTGAGAGGCTGGGTGGCCTCCCCAGATGGAAGGGCTGATGGGGCAGGGCCTCCCCACATTGTATCCCATGTCAAGGCAGGGCAGCCTTGGGCTCAGGGGAGTCTGGGGCGATGGTCACTACAGGTCTGAAAGACTCCCAAGTTTGGTGCAGGCAGGGGTGGGGAATCCATCTGCAGAAATTCTCCTTTTGACAAACTAAAGCACCTTTCCTAAAGAGACAACTGGGATTCTGTGCCATCCGATGATGAGCTGCCGGTGGACAAGACCCAAGTCTTGTTCATCTTTGTTCTTTGAGCCTGGCACGATGCCTGGCATTTAATAGTGAGGGCTTTATGATGGTTGAATAAACTCTAGGCCTGGCACCCATGGGGCCTGAGCCTGAGCTCCAGGGTCCCTTGTGTGGGGGCAATGCACAGATGGCTTCCTTCCTATTTTGGGCAGCCAGTTGGCCCCTGACAGAGGTTTGAGGAAGGGGAGGGGAGGGTGGAACTGTGGAAGTCCCTGCTGAGCTCCATTATTCCTGGATGTCTCACCTTGGGAATCATAGCTTGGATCCGCTTGATCAGAGTCCTGCAGAGCCAGCAGTACGGGAGGGGGATGGGCAACTGCTGCTCAGAGAGATCCTGGGGGAGAGAATCACCCCTTAGGTGAGGCCAGGCTGAGCACTGGGAGAAGGCATCCTCCAGGCTCTGCCTCCCCTGCCTCCTCTTCTCCTTTACCCCTCCTGCCTTAGGCCCTGCTTAGAGCTTCTTATTTCCTTTCTGGGTCTGCCCTTTCTGGGGTAGGTGCCTATGGGTCTTGGCAGTGGCCTGAGCTGTCTTGGAGTCCCACCTCTCTCGGGTATGAGGGGCTAGCGGGGCGGGGGAACTCTGTCACCTGTGTATGAGGTCCAGTCACCTGGAGGACTCCAGGCAGCTCAGGGAGGATCAGCTTGTCCAGCAGTGGATCTGACAGCTCTGACTCTTGCTCTGGCTCTGGAAGCCCAGGCTTGCACAGGCCCAGGTGCTTACAGATGATCTTTGGGTTCTAGGGCACAATGCAGGGTGAGGGGGTGGTCAGGATGTGAGAGGGAACCCATTCCTGCCTAGCCTGGTTCAAAGGCTTGCCCTAAAGCCACCGGCTCTGGGCCTGGAATGGGGGGCAACAGGCTAGATGGGGGCTGTGAACTGGGGTTCTGTGGTGAGGGTGGGGGCAGCCAAAAGGCAGAGGTGGGGCCCCGTGGGGTCTTTGGGCAGGTGTCTGGGAATGTGTGTGAATGAGCACAGGCTTGTATGTCTGTGAGAATGGATGAGAGCAAGCATGGGTATGAGGGTGTGGGATGGTGTAGGTTCTTCATGAGACTGAGTGTGTGGTATGAGTATGTGAATGAGCGTATGCGATGTGAAGGGTGTGGGGGTGTGTGGCAGGTGTTTTGTAAGCCCATGTGTGGGCCGTCTCTGCACAGCTGAGCAGGTAGGGCTGTGGGGCACCTGGCTGTGGGCCACTGTGTTTCCTGGACTGGTCACAGGTAGGGGTGTGTGTGTGTGTGTGTGTGTGTGTGTGTGTGGGGCTGTGTGTGGGGGTAACTCTGGTGTGGGTGGACATGGGGGCTGTGCAGGGAGGCAGCTTGGAGGCGAGGTTGCTGGGGCCTCACAATCTGGCTTTGGAAGTAGTCAACCACCACTGGGAAGTAGGTGCCAAGCATGTGATGGCACTGGGGCGTGAGCAGCTTCAAGGGGAGAACGTCACACTCATGCTCCAGGAACTTCCGCACCATGTCCTAGGAGACAGTGAGGAGACAATGAGGTTGTAGAAGGGACAGTCAGGCTGGCCTCTCTGAGGTCTATCTCGCCTGAGTCCCTGGATGCATGGCTACCACCAGACAGACTGGCCACCCTCTCCCAGGGCACCAGAGTTCAGAGAACGCCAAGGAGTGAAGTAGTAGGCTATAGGGAGGATCCTCCCCGTTGGGAGAGACCATCTCTGGCTGTGTTGCTGAGCTCATTCCCAGGATCCTCTTCTAGCTGGGAGGTTCCTGGAGTCTCCAGGGAAATCCAGGCCTCACTCTTGGCCTGGAGATGGTCTCTTTATGGGGCTAACCTCTGTGCCCTGTTCTGTCCCGCACCTCCTGGCCCTCAAACTTCATCCATTATCTGGGCATTACCTGGAAGAGGGCCTCCTTGGTCATCTTGGTGAGGATGCGGACGATGTCCTGACATTCCTGGCAGAGGTCATCCTGGGGAGGGGGTCCGAAGGTGGGGCACTTGAGTGGGATGGGGGGTGTGCTCCCAGCTCTAGTGTGTGAGGCTGATAGAGTGCTCCAAGGCACAGGCAACTGCCTCCATCCCACCCCATCCCATCCATGTCATCTTATCCTAGCCCATCCCATCCCAAACCATCCAACCCATCCAACCCATCCCATCCCATCCCATCCCATCCCATCCTCTCTTATCATCCATCACATCCCATTCCCTAAAGGGGGCTTATTCCGTCAGGATTGCCCAACACCCTCTATACCAGACCTTCAGTCCCAGTGCATCCACGGGTGGTACTCACAGCTCTTGCATTGCCCCAGACTTCCTGTAGGCAGTGACCCAGGGCTCTGCACTGCAGTGCTTGCTCCAGGCTTTGGCACCAGAATGCGGGGCCCCGGGCACAAGCCAGGGATGGGGCACTCCAGTCAGCTGCAGTTTGGGGCAGAGCATCCTTGGAACTTTAGCCACTCCTGGCACTCTGACTTCACGCAAACCCCAACTCTAATTTTACGAGGAGCACCTGCCCTTAAACGTGTGGGAGTCAGAGGCAGCAGGGTTCCACATGCACTAGTGCCTGGGAGCTGTGTGGCCTTAGACAAGCCCAGTAGCGTCTCTGTGCCTCAGCTTCCTCATCTTGAAATGAGGATATTGTACAAAGTAGGGATAATGGTTGGCTCAGAGCCAGAGCCCAGGAAACCTGGAGATGGACGGGAAGTCTCCTCCACACCTGGACCCAGGTGAGAGGGAGGTGAGGAGAGGCTGGGGAGACTCACCAGCACCCAGGCCACACAGTGTGGGGAGCAGCAGCAACCACAGCAGCAGGTGTGACTCGGCCATGTCACCTCCACAGCCTGGATACCTTGCTTGGGTGGGGACCCTTATACCTTATACCTGGTGTGTGGGGGCAGGGTGTATGGGAGGCCCAGGGACCTCAGTGTTTGCCTTTGTCCTGGAGAGCCCTCCAGGCACTTTGATCCCTACCTCTTCTGAGCAGTGACGCTCTCCCAGCCCACCCACCATCTCCTGCCTGCTGCCTGGTTCCTGCTGCCTCTCTCTTCCTGCTGTCAGTCCCATGGGCATGGTCTCCCGGCGGCCTGTAAGCAGGGGGCTTTGGAGTGTCCACATCTGACCCCATGTCTCTGGGCTGTGGGGGTGGAAAGAGAGGCAGCTCAGGGTAGCCAGAATGAGCCCCCTCCCCTGCCTCCCCAGCCCCTAAGCCTCCTCCACTCTTGAGCAATGCACTTAAGAGCTTCCTGGCCTGCTCTTGACCCAGGGCAAGCCCTGGAGGGGCAATCCCGGGATACTCCTGGACCCCCTACCTGCCACCCTCTCCTTCCCCTTTCCCCAGAGAACTCTTCTGATTCTATGGACACGTGATTGTCATTCCTCAGAGGAACCTTTCCATGAAACCAACCAACCAACCAACCAACCAACCAACCAGCCCCACAAGTGCGCAAGAGTCTGGGACAAGACTGTGGGGACACGATTTCCAGAGTGGCTCCTGAGTAGCCCAGACCAGCCATGTTGCTTGTGGCACCTCAGCACCCCATCCAGGGTAGGGGAGGGCACAGGTGGAGGTTTAGGAGAAAGAATGTGTCCTTGGCAGGGGTAGAGGCTGCAGGGTGGGGTCCCACTGGGAGGGCACACCTGGGGACAAGCTCACACTCACCAAGGGGCAGACGCTTCTCTACTGTGCAAGGAGTAGAGCCTTAGCTCCTTGTCACCACCTGGGGATCAGTGTATCTGCTGACTGAGTGGAGGCTGCCAGCATCTGTGCTCCAGGAAGCTCCCCTGATACTCATGGCGATGGCAGGGCGGGAGTTAGTGCCCCTGCACACAGGCGGGTCTGGTGACACGCTGGAGGGCACCCAGCAATTCGTGTAGTCTGTTGGCTCAAGAGCTTGTCAGTATGAGAAAGTCAGTTGCCATGAGGGGAGCCTGTGTCAATGTGGGAGGAAAGCCTAGGAGCAGGGCGACTGGGTCCGATCAGGAAGCTGGAACTGGAATGTGCTAAAGGTTTACTAAGTGTGCAACAACTGAGCCGGCTGGATGCCCCTGGTTTGGATACAGACAGCGATGAGGGAGCAGCAGAGCAGGGTCTGTGGACGGCTGGCCCCTGGGTACACTGGTCAAGGTAGCCTCACAGCTGTAACAAAGATCCCTCGAGGCCCGTGGCTTCCCATGAGACATGTCTCACTCCCATCCCAGGGCAGACAGGTTGCCCTGTCCCAGGGCAGACAGGCTGGGGTTCATAAGGTCCCTCAGGGGCCTGGGCTCCTCCCTCTGCCTGCCTGCCATCCCCCAGGGCTGGAGCCCTGCCCTGGATCCTCTGTCGCTGGCCGGCAGGGCACAGAGAGGAAGCCTGGAAGATAGGAGGGAGGTTCGAGGGCCGATCCCGGGAGGGGCGTCCTTCATCTGTGCCATCAGCTCACTGTCCAGAACCAGGCTCAGGTTCCTGCTGACCCCCATGGCAGGCTGGCAGATGTAGCGTTCCCGTGTCCCCGGGGGAAGGGGAATGGAGTGGGACACACGGCATGCTCTCCCATCCAGCCCAGCCAACACAGAGCTGTGTGTTTCCTGGGGTTTCCTGGATAGCGGCTCTGTGGCTCCCATCAAATCCTCGAAGAGGGGTCGGCTTCTCGCCACTGCTGAGCTGTGTCATCCAAGAGCATAAAATAAAGAAACCCAGAGAGCCAGCCAGCCATTCCAGAGAGCCCTGGCGCCGGAGGCAAAGGAGGAATTCAGCCTCATGGTCCCTGGACGGGTCTCTGGTTCCCATCGCTCCAAACACAACTGTCACCACGAACTCTGAGCAAAGTTGGGCTTTTCAAGGGACACGGACATTGAGACAGCCGGCACAGATCTGTCTCCTGACCTGCTGGCACATCTATTTCTCACTGTAAATGAAGAAAGAGTTATTCTTGGAAAAACCAACCAACCAACCAACCAACCAACCAACCAACCAACCAACGCAAACACTGTTGGCCTTCCCAAGGTCTGGAGCTTCGAGAACTTGAGTTTGTTGATGCGATGGCTCCCCTACGGGTGCGTGGACGGTGGATAGTCCTGCGGAACAGTCTCTCCTGCCCATGCTCTTTCCACTCATGCTTCCTGCCTAGCAGTGTGTCCGCAGCTGGCCTGGGTCCCCATGGGGCCAGTCTGTTCTTGCCTGCCCGCAGCAGGAAAGTGGCTTCACACATGCCTGAGTGGCTCATTCTGTTAAGCCTCTATCTGACTTCCACTCAAGTCATGGTCTCTGGGTCCTGGGAAGGAGTCCTGAGTGTCTCTCCACACTCAGCAGGGAATCTGCTTGTTCTTCTCCCTTGCCCCTTCTTCCACTTGTTCTGTCTCTCAAAACACATAAATGAAATTAAAAACAAACAGACCAAGCAACCAGAAGGTTGCCTTGCCACCCTCCTGGCATTAGAAGGCCCCAGGACCCCCTCACTCGACCCCTGGGTCCAGGGTGACATCTACCCCAAAGTGAATCAATCCACAGACCTGGTGGAGACAACTGGAGTTTGAATTGGGAGATCAGAGCTGCATTTCTGGGGCAGCAGAGAAGCAAAGGTGTGAAGAGTGGTCAATTCATGGTGCATGCGACAGGACGCTGGACTCCTGAGCTCGGTGGCCTGGAGCAAAAAAGCCACTCTTCCCAGGCTCAAGGATGGCTTAGGAAAAAGCAGGCAGAGCCAAGTGTTGGTGGGGATGTGGAGAACGCGCCCCCCCCCCCCCCATGCATTACTGGTGGGAAGAGGGGGAGGCACATTGGCTGGGAAAGCAGTATGTGCAAAACAGTTCTTCAGAAAGTCCTCAGTGTACTTCCTGCCACTGAGTGATGTACTTACACATTGTAAAAATAGTGTTTGTGTATATTTAATTTTGAAGAATGGAGGGCATGAAGGAGAGAGAGAGAGAGAGAAAGAGAAGGGATAAAGAAGCCAGGTGGGGTGGGGCAAAGTTTGTTTTTCTCCTTTCTTTTGTAAATGGATTCATTTCTTACTGCAGTGGAGTTGCCAGACTTGTTTGTCTGTGTGACTGTGGAGAGAGATTGGCAGATTCTGGGTGGAGGGGACTGGGGGGCTGGGACAGGGGTCAGGGGTGTTGTCAGGGGGCAGCGTGGAGATCTCCGGGGTCTCCTTGGAGGGGTGCAGGTGAAGAGCCCTCTTCCTCATCACTCCTCTGGGTCTGGGCTGTGTCTCTGGACATCGTCCTGGGGCTGCTCCCCAAGGGCCTAAGACTGCCCTCCCTCCCCAGGCCCAGGACCAAGCCAATCTCTGCTCTGGGCTTGACACTCTCCACTGAAGTGTGGGGCTTGGCGGGAAAATCCAGGGAGTGCCTGGCAAATGGCAACTTGGGAGGCCTCATGGGAGCCCTTCCAGGCACTGCTCTTTTCCCCTGGGTGGGGGTGGGGGGTGTAGGGAAGCTTGGAGTTTAGCTCTCACCCATGCACTCATTTGACCCAATACCAGTGAGTAGTCTGGGAGGTGGGAGCACAGGGCTCACTGCCCTGGTGGACTTCATGTGCCTTGGGAGCACAGACCGGTAACCAGAGCGGGGCATTGCCCTGGAAGAGGGGAGATCTGGGGGTTCGGGTGGGAGAGGGGAGATCTGGGGGGCGAGGTGGGCACAGGACAGCTGGGCAGAGATTTCAGGGAGTCTAGCAGTTGGGCAGTTTTTGAAGGCTGAGATTGGGTAAGTGCTGTGGGTGGAGGGAGTGTCTCCTGCAGAGACCCAAGAGGGAGAGCACTGGGGTTATTGGCTCCTGCTTGTTGGAGGAGGCACCTGAGGCCGGCCCCCTTCCCAGTAGTGACTTCAGGATGGGGGTCCTCAGTGTGGGGTAATGGGTGGCCTCTGAGCCTCCAGCCTGGAGAGGGAATCCATTTCTTTCGTTTTAAGTCCCTCAGTTTGGTAATGCGTAAGGGGCTCTACCAAAGCAGTCCAGTTGCCCACTATATACAACGTGTTCCATTTTTCCGTCCCTACACCAGCAGCCTATGCCCATATTTTGCAGATCTGAATTAAGAGCTGCCACGTACAAGGAGGCACCGTACTGGTCAATGCTGCCATCCGCGTTGTTGTTTCCGGTGACCAAGGGTCTGATGGCGGAAGAGGCCTTTGAGAAGAGCACAGAGTCTAGGTGTTAGGAGAGCTGAGTCTAGGCGCCAGCTCTGTGGACGCCCCAAGGTTAGGCCGCGCCATTGGCCTTTGCCAGTAATTACTTTGGAGTAAGTATGTGTTCAGGTTCTGGTCCAGCAGAAGCCTGCTTGGGGTGTATGTCTCGGCAATGTGTCCTCCTGGTTAAGAGACCGATGGGGACAGATGTCCCTATCTCCTTTTGGACATTCCCATACAAGGATGTGATGTAGCCATTGTGTCCCAAGAAGGGAGAAACACGAGAAGCCCAGAGAAGCAGTTCAGAAGCCTGACCTGGCTGAGGTGCCCATTTACACTTCCGGGCTCTTTTTACTGCTTCTACAGTTTCTAGTGAGATATTTTCTTGTGTGCAGCCCAAATCATCTTAGCCAAAGGCAGAAGCCAGGGAAGAAGGGAGTCGGGAGGAAGCAAGGGAAGAAGGAAGTCAGTGGATTCTTTCCATCCTTTCAATGTAGATTAAATTCCATATCCTCAGAGGAGGTCTCCCAGTTTGTCCCTAGTGGAGTCCATCTCCTGTCCTCTTGCCCCCATGGACATCTGTCCTTAGTGACATGTCTCAGCACTGGCGCAGTTGCATGAACTTTGGCTTAGGGGCCACAGCTTGAGCCTCAGAGTGACCGTCCTGGGTTCCCCACACTCTCTGTCCTGCCCTTGTCCTGGGATGGTAGCCCTGGGATGAA